CAACCAGATGGTAGTTGTCGCCAATCTTCATCGTCATGATCTTCTTGACTGATAATGGCTGCCACGCGAGAGTTACGACCCTTGTTGTTATCGAAGCGGAGAGTAAAACCACCTTGCGCCATGATGTCACGTCCTATTATCACGGGGTGAATCAGATGTACTTCCGTAATGTAGAACTTAGCCACGAAAATAGCTCCAAGGACGGATAGATTAAGAGAGACCGACCCTAAGGTCTTCAACGAATGTCCTGCTGCCGTCTTGCAGACAGGCGTATCCTCCGTGTCAACTGTGAGAGAAGTTGACATACTCGATAAGGTGTCCATGTCAATGATAGATATAGTAGACCCGCTGTCGATCAAGGCTTCAGTTCGTATTGACGACCCACATGCCTCAAGTGCCACACTCAACGTGCAAGAATCCGGTAGGGGCGTGGTGTTACCATGACAAGTCTCTAAGCTGACCATGTTCACCTCATTCGAAGACATCGATGTAGCACTTGGAGAAGGACGGCCTTTACGCTCGAGCGCACGTCGTTTTGTTTGACATTGCTCCTCAGTGTGGTTGCGTTTCAGACAATAACCACACGTAGCACCGGGAGTTCGAGGATACTCTCGTCGTAGTCTCGGATCTTCTGCTCCCTTAGGAATAGTTGAGAGTGCTTGTCCTCTACGATCTCGTCTCTTCTTGAAGCATTCAGACTCTAGATGGCCTTCCTTACCACAGTAACCACATTTCCTCTGCGTCTTGGCAATGGCGCTCACAACTCTTTCCATCCATTCAGGAGATAGCCAAGGATTGACATTTGATGAGGATGATGATACCGTAGGCTCCACGTCGTCACCATTTTGTTCATAAGTTGCTGCCGGTCTTTCCATATTACCAATAGCGGTCAGCTCATGTTGCATAGCGTCTTGCTCTGGTCGTTCAGAATCATCGATGAACGGATCCGACATGATAAATTGCGCCTTCTGCAACGCCTTCTCCAGGGTAGTGGGATTGGCATTCCGAACCTTACGTGCAAGTTCGATTGAATGTCCACGAAGACCACGAATGAATGCCATAAGAACCACCGGTTTGAGCTGCTGCTCCTGCATGTCTGGATAGGCTCGATGTGCCAGGCGTCTAATATCATTCTGGTAGGTCAGAAGGGTCTCATTGCCATAGTCTAGTACTCGCTGATGGAGCTGTTCACCACACTGTATCTGCGTAGCCACCGTCAACTTCTTAGTGAGATTATCGACAAGCTTCTCCAGAGTATCCTTCTCGTTGTCTGCTAGGTCGTCGAAGATAATCCAAGCGTCACCCTTGAGTAGAGGGGGCAGATGCCTAAGCTTGTCTTCTTCGTTCCATTTGTTTGCCTTTGCACAGGCCTTGTACTTACGAACCCACTGCTCGAAATCAAGTGAACTAGTAATTGGGTCGTAGCTCTCCGGCAAGGCATAGTATAGATGATGCTCGTTGATGCTGTTGTCACCCATGTTCATAACAAGGAGCTGCTACGCTGCACTATTACGTAACTCGACCAGAGGTAAATAATCCTTAGGAAAGGATAAAAGATGGGAAACGGATACAGCTAGAAAGGTCTGGGACGGGGACAAAGCTTTGTGTCTACTTGTGTGATATTGCAGATCTATATGGTGACTAGTTGTAGGCTCCAAGTCAAGGTGCAGGGGCTTGTCTCATCTGAATGCAATGAAGGTTGTCCTAGTGACAAAACTATGCAGCATAGTCTATGCTCTTACTATTTTAAAGCGAGACAGCGGATGAGAGAATTCGCAGAATCTCGAGAGTTGGGTAGCCCGACCCGGATTTATCAGAAAGCAATGTGATTCGCAGAACCTGTCGACGGGTGGCGATTATCAGAGTCTGATACTCCTGAAAAACAACTTCGAACTCACCTGAAAATCCCTGACTGGAACTATACTTCCATATCTCCTGTAGCACTGGGCAGTGCCAGTTGAGTCATACTCTTAATAAGGGCTGCTCGCAACGAATTATGAGGCAGGAGTAATAGCAATCGGGGATTCCAGGCTATGATTCAGCAATGATGTTCACCATCTCTCAGTTATCCAAATCTACAACAAACGGAACCAATTTGTATGATAAGAAGAAGCCGCACATGGCCTACCAATTTCAGCGCTTGATGATTGCTCATGCTGCGTAGAGCACTTGAGTGTTCTTGCATTATTTCGGCATCTTGCTCGATCACTCTCCAGGAGTTTCTTTATAATATCTCCACTCTCGCACCACACCTCGAAGGGAGGATCGTGAACAGGACAGTGGCGATAAAGAGCTCTATCCTTGCCCACTGCTCGAGGATGGAAACGATGCTCGTTCTGGACGTCGTCATATTTCAAGCTGCAACGACTGCACTTTTCTTTTTTTGCCGTTCTCTCAACGAACAATTGAGGTAGGATATCCCTATCGAATGCAGTCAAGTCGGGGTACTGCACTGGACAATACCGAATACCAGC